CTTGCTTTATTGTATTCTTGCTCTGCTACATAATATTAAGTTTATAATTGTAGTGCCTATCTTAAATTATATGCAGCCCAGCACAGATAGATTGTTGTATTGAGCCTTTTCTTTATATAAAGTCATATAAATAATCACTTTAAAATAACTTCTAACGCTTTTAAAGGCGAAAAGTATTCATTCGAATTCTTTTTAACTACGACTCGACGTTTCGGCTGCTGCCAAGTACCTATCTGTAAAGCATCGTAGAAAATAATTTAAAAAATAAGTTAACTAAAATATTTCACTTTAAAATATTCACCGTTTTGGGTTTTAATTAAGGTTATTTATTTATCTGTAAATCGCATTCGCTAACAAAAGCAAGTAACTCTTTTAATTAAACCACTTTAACGGTTTAAAACGCAATATATTTTAGTTTAACTTGTTTGAAAATTATTTTTAATTACGGCCAGATGTTTCGGATGCTTCGCAGTTCGCAGCAGCCGTGGTCACGGGGAGACATAATCGCGTTTTAAACCGTTAAAGCGTTTTATTTAAATGTGTACTACTCGCGTAAACTACAGACAAGTCAGTCTGTATAGTAGGAATACGCGTACTTAAGGCGACCAATGAATACGCTTTGAGATTGATTATGCTCTCGTGATTCCGAAAGTTCCTTCTGTATCATATTGTACTCCTCAGGGTTGCTAAGGCATTTCTTTTTAATGCACCGATGGAATTCTATCGCATTCTTGCGATTCAAAATCTTGTACTATTTGAATATTAAATAAAACAGTTACAATGCGAAATATATTGTTTAACTTATTTTTGATTTATTTATTACGTTGTATGGCGTCAAGGATTCGAATCCCGTGCTGGACGCTACGTCAGTTCGAATTTGGAATTTTAAAATATTTTTTTTTTTTCGAGTCCCGGGGAAACTACAGATTGTTTCGGTCGGACAGGTACAGAAGTTTGATCAAATACTTGTCTGCAAGTAAAAGAGATATAACAGAGACTCAAAAAGTTGCCCCATGCCCCACGCAGGGCATCGGCCTCAATCCCGATGGATTTCTTATTACTTTTTTATTATCAGTATAGTGGCGCAGAAATCTAAGCATCGAAAGTTTAATCTGATGCCTTTTTAAGGCTAGTACAATTTCAAACAGCCATATTTGAAACCGATAAAGTAAACACCCGTTAGATTTAAACGGTTATAGCTTCCTGTTAGCTAACGTTGATTAATGAAAAATATGAATGAGATCTTAAAAACAGGAAAAAGCACCGCCGGCAAATACTGCAAGCACTGTATGGAATGTCCAATCATATGACATGATATCATACGTCTGAACCCATAATGGCGATGGGCAGGTGACAAAAAGTATTATGAATGCCGGGAGCGGACCGTTTTTGTTCAGAACTGGTTCTCGTTCAATTCTTAAGAATGCTGGATCTCGCTGATGAGAAATCTTATGATTTCGTTGTGGCTATGAAAGTTGAGACATGAAAGCGTGTAGAAGTAAGCACTAAAAGTGAATTAATTGAAAACTTAGTACGACATAAATTAAAAATCGATTATAGATTGAAACAAAATATTAAGATTAGTAGCAATCCTAATACTTAAAGCATCAGTAGGCACGCCGTGGTTGCCGGTTCAAGTCCTGTCCAAGTTGTATTTCATTTTATAATCTATATAGTGCCATCTTGTGCGAATGAATAATATTAGTTTTCAAACTTTACTTTCCTTATGTGGGCATGGGGCCATATTTCTACTTTTATAAAGATAGAAAGCATTAAATTGTGTAAGGCTGTGAACCATCGTTCAGGATATGATTGTCTTTCGGGCTTTTCGCTCACATCGGCCGAACAGCCATCGTTCAGGATATGATTGTCTTTCGGGCTTTTCGCTCACATCGGCCGAACAGCCAGAAAGACAATGATATGCTATAAAGAAAACATTATTTAAAGAAATTTCTCTGGGCTTTGAACCCAACCATCGAGCTTCATTTGTCGAGACAAAAGCTCATGAAATGACACTTGTTGAATAGCGTCGTAACTTAGGGACATTGTTTAAACAATTATTATAAAAAAATATAGATAGATATATATGTACCTATTTTGTTATATATATTATTTTATTGATTTTTAGGTCTAAGGTACTAATAATACGGGATCCAACAAATAAGACTGGACTATCTTTTCATCTGTATATCTGTCTGTTTATCATCAGTCTGTATCTCAATAAATTGTAAATACGCACTTATGTAATTTGGTCTAAATGAAATTATGTCGTAAGTCTTTAAAAATAAATAAAAACGCTTGATTCATAGCCACACATTATAACAAACGTAATAAGATACAATCGGTATTTAACATGAAACAGAACCGTGTAACTTAACTTATAAGAAGTTGATAATAACAAGTACTGGATAAAAGCCTTCAAAGAACGGCAACAATTAACTTTGTTAAGTGATAATGCCGGCCGTTCTCTTATCTTTGAAAATCGAGTTTTATGAAAATTAATTTTGAAATTATAATAACCATATTGCAATTTATTATTAATATATAAAAAATGTCTCACGATATATAAGACAAATAGTTAGGGTCTACTTGTAAGTAAAGTCGTGAGAAACAGACACAGAAATATACCAGCGCCATGTCCTATATATATAGAAATTGGGATCTATTTTATGCTTAAATAAAACACTTTTAACGATTTTAACGCGAAAAGTAAACGTTTGCGACGTTTCAAATGCAAAGCATTCGAAACATCGTGTTAAAATAAGTTGACATATACATTTCGCGTTTTAATCCGTTAAAATTGTTTTATTTTGAATTTGAACCTTCTCGCGTCAATTAAAGACTATATCTATTTTGTAGCCAATCAAAGATTTCGTTGTTCAAGGGCTCAATTTGAATAAAAATTATAAGCTATGATTAAGCAGGTGTTGAAATATGAATCTTGTGAGCTGAAGAATTTACACCGCTCGATCGCGTCGTTCAATCCGATTATAATAACAATGTGCTTAATTGCATGGCCACAATCCGGTTCTCATATCTTTTCGGATATATCAATGCAAGGATTCACTTTTAGTTTTTTGTTTCATCTGCTTAGCAGAAACAGCTATTGCTGTCACAGAGGTAAGAATTACCCCCTATTTTAATGGTAGCATTACAATCATCAGATTACTTAAAAAAGAGAGAAACCCAAAAAATACTTTCGCTTCACGAGCGTCGTAATTCTAACCTTACACTTGCGTATCGAAGTAAGAGTAGTCGTCAATGATTTTTCATTTTGAAATAGTTATTTTTATTTATTAACCCTTTATTGCATCACACACAAACGTATAAAAAATATATGATTACTAGTTTTGGAGTGCAATGTACGGCATTATCGCTATAGAGCGATCTCTTCCAGGCAGGGTTGCCTGGAAGAGATCGCTCTATAGCGACGATGGTCTCTATAGCGAGAAGATAGTCACTAATAAACAAATATGTTTATTAGTGACCATCTTTTGTTGAGATATATGAAATTACTTCTTATTTGACATAATAAGATAATAGTTTCGAAGTCTGTAATTAATAATCGTAAGACTTCTTAGATCGTATTACGATATACTCGCAGTTAAAATTAAATTTTAAACAAGTTAACTTATATTTCGCGTTTTAACCCGTTAAACCTGATTTATTTAACCATACGTTTATTACTAGAGAGGGTAATTTAAATGTCAAGTTTGTGGATGTAGTTATAGCCCACCAATCCCCCATTAACAATGCGTTGTAGATCTGAGTTCTTAAACACACTTCTACCTGAACTACGTAACAGCCAACACGGAACATAACATAACAAGTTAAGATAAATACTAGTAATTCTAAATGAAAAAAAAGATAGTTTTATAGCCTAAAATAAATTTAGTTACATCAAATGATCTAAATACTACTTATACTAATATTATAAATGCGAAAGTAACTCTGTCTGTCTGTCCGGCTTTCAAACTACTGATCCTATTTATGAATACCTTAATAAACTTTTTGCAGAGAAACATTGTATCTTACGTTGTGTACACAACACATGTCTTATTTTCATAGTCGTAGTCAATTTGTGAAATAAATAAATAAAGTACCCAAAGTTAATATAACACGTGGACGAAGTCGCGGGCACAGCTAGTCTAAATATAATGTATCGTATGATTAATCGCTCCGCTCATCGCCGTCAGTGAAACCCGATCCTAAAACAAGTTTCGGTATGCATTAATGCCTCGCTTGAATTGGTTACATTTCATCGGTTCTCTTTTGATGCTAATCGAAGAATTTGAATATAAATTATTGCTGATTGTGTGATTTGAATATGTTATTGTATAGACTTTAAACATCATCTTTGTTTTTACTTTATGGTCTTACAATTTATTGCTTTTAACATTACTGTATGTGCCAAGATTGTGATAGTTAAATTATTAAATACTGTCTATAGTTTACGCGAGTAGTACACATTTAAATAAAAAACTTTAACGGTTTAAAACGCGATATATTAGTTAAAGTTTAACTAATATGTCGCGTATATATGTGTTTTATTTAAAAGTTAAATTATTTCTATTTTCAACGTATGTTTATCAACTTTTAGTTTGGTAGTGTAGTTACAACATTGGAGTAATTCTTAGTATAGTTAAGCAGTGTCAACATCAACGTTCTTCGTGTTAAGTATATAGCTGAGCATTTTAATTACTTCTATCAATAAGCAATAGTTATTATCAAAGTCAATTTTGAAGGCGTCTACTAATTAACCCGAGGTCGTAAAACGTCAGAACTTTAATTATTATTCGTAACGTCATAATCGTCTCGATCGTGAGTAATCATCGAATGCACGAATTAATGTTTAGCGTCCAATTTAATCTGACACGTGGAAATACACGTTCAATACGTTTATAATAGTCACTTACATCACACGAGTGATCCGGATTGTGGATGCAAAGTGTCTTGTTAACATGGACGAGGGATACTTAGATTATTACGTTACTAAGATACTAGTTTACTTGTTCGAAACTCCCGCTGGGCATTATGTGAGGCGTACAGAGTGCCACTTCATCCAAAAGATGTTCAAGTGCCAAACTATTATTAACTCTATCATCATAGTTATAGAATTCCAAATGTCCATCATCGATTTCCACTTGCGTTATCAATTGTTCTTCAAGCTGTTCCATTACAAGCCTTACATCATTAATCATACTTTACATTGCCATAATTTATTCGTGGTTCTCCTCTCGTTTTGTTTCGAGATTTCTTACTTGGTGTTCTCGAATTTCTTAAGACGTGATGCGATTCGTGCGTATAAAGTTGTTGCTTGGATCTCTGCCTGTATTATCGATAACAATATTTTACACGTCAGCGAGGTAAGGTGAGACCAAAGCTTATTTATATGAATGTGCATGGATTTCTTTAAAGCGTTTACGATAAATTCTGAAATGTCCTCACAAATTTACATTATAAAAAGTAAAGAGGAACTCTGCGAACTGTTTTCATTCTATAAAATTAATGATAATTTCTAAGAGACTCTGTGTTGTTTATTTTATTGATGGTCGACGTGCAGCAAGCAATTACATATATAAAGCAAACTACGTGTCCTACAATCTTAACTAAGCTAGTTTTATTTTAGTTACCGAATTATCATTACATATCCTAACGTTGTGATCCTATTCTGAATAGGTTTCAAAACAGTTTCGTTTTAGGTACATGAAACTAAGACAACCTCAGAATATTATCTTATTTAATTACATACTGTATACAGTTTACGCAAGTAGTACACATCAAACGCGAAATATTTTAGTTAAAATTATATGGAAATTATTGTAACTACGGCCCGACGTTACGGATGCTTTGCAGGAGCCGCGGTCACGGGGAGTTTAACAAATATATAATACGTTTTAAACCGTTAAAGTGTTTTATTTATTTTAGTATGTTTTATCAGGAGTCCGGGCCATTAACCATCTACCCGTCAGCTCTTCCAATTACCTATGGGAGCGGTCTGTAGCCATCAAATAACAAAATTTATTATCAGTTAACTGGTATACATTTAAATACTGTCTATAGTTTACGCGAGTAGTACACATTTAAACAAAAAACTTTAACGGTTTAAAACGCGATATATTAGTTTAACTCCCCGTGACCGCGGCTGCTGCAAAGCATCCGAAATGTCTGGACGAAGTTAAAAATCATTTTCAAATAAGCTTGACTAATATATCGCGTTTTAAACCGTTAAAGTGTTTTATTTAAATGGTATAAATTTGTATATCTATTGCTAAACAATAACCAATATCATTCTTACTTATTGAAGATCTATAATCTCCCAATAATCCCAAATAAGCAGGCCTTGATAACGTATTATCACGCCTTCATTATCACCTTTAATGATAAATTACTCGTTATTGATGGGGTCGTATAAACAGTGATTGGATGATAATGTCACGGGCATTAGATATGATCTCCCTTAGTCGCATTATGCTGAGATAGTTAATTTACAACTATTACTACTAATTTCACTAATGTTGCACACAGAATTAGTTATACCTGAATAATCACAGTTAATTGAACGGGTTCTCGGTTTGTAGGGTCTTCATAATTAAATGACTAAGCTTTGTCCTTATACGATCAGGCAATGTACAGAACTGGCTCATTTGTCCGCTGGTGGTTTGGTCTCAGGTTTAGAGCCAGGTTTGGAAACGTTTGAATTTTTTACTACTTTAATACTTAAATAAAACACTTTAACGGTTTAAAACGCGATATATTAGTTAAACTTATTTGAAAATGATTTTTAACTTCGGCCCGACGTTTCGGATGCTTTGCAGCAGCCGTGGTCACGGGGAGACTTAAGATGGAGAATGTCTCTGACGTCAAAGCAGGATAGTGTCGTTCAACGACTCTCCCCGAATATATTTTTTTTTAAATTTTAAAGCCTTTGGCGGGCCATTGGTAGCAATGCACGGATCAACGGGTCGTGGGTTCGATTCCCACCGGGTCCAACAATCGTCTAATCAATTTAAAATTTAAATTATCTTATATAATAAGTCAAAAAATATACTTTTTTTGTAAATATACCAAGAGAAAAACGAGATACGACTAAGAAATAACAAGATAAGTAAGCTTACGAGCTGGTCTAATATGTAGGATTTTTTTTTAATTTAACCAAACCTTTATAGCTATCTATACGTGCTAAGGAAAAGAAAATTCCTCCTACAATGACATACAACAATGTATTTATAATTTCCCGTATCGTGCCAAGAGCGAACAACACTGTTTCACGAGTTCTCAGATAAAATTTCTGAGATCACATGTTCCGGAATAAGTTGGAGGTACGAAAACACAATTTTCTGCATCAGTTGATTCTGTTAAAAGTCTTATGACCGGGGAGACTTGGAACTCACCCAGGCTCATTTACATATAATCCACAATGATAGTTTTATGTATTCTTGTTTATATAAATTATTATAATTTCGTATGAAGGACGATGCTGCCGTATGAGATTTGTAATTTCTACAGTATTGTCTGTAGTTTACGAGTATAGAATTTTATGCAACACTTACAATGGTTTAAAACACAAAATATTCGGCGATTGCTAGTACTGAAGAAGTTTTTACGCGAATTACTTAAATATTTAAAGAGCTTGGTAAGAAATAACATTTTAAAGTTATAAGTGGAGTTAATAAAGTTTTTTTTTTTTATAACATTAAAGTATTAAAATAATCAACATTTTCAAAAACAATCGTTTTTTTTACTATTTTATTAATAATGTTTGTCATTTTAACTATGTAGTTAGTTAAGTAGTTTTGGCCCAACAGAAAAGGGTGAAAAGACAAAAAAACAATAGATGTGTGCTGAATTTAACTTTGGGAAAGTTAATAAAGCATTATGAGTAAATATTAAATTAAAACACTTTAACGGTGTAAAATGCGATATATTAGTCAAACTTATTTAAAAACGATTCTCTGAGTCGCCCCGTGACCATGGCTGCTGCAAAGCATCCGAAACGTGGGGCCGAAGTTAAAAATCATTTTCAAATAAGTTTAACTAATATATCGCGTTTTAAACCGTTAAAGTGTTTTATTGAAATGTATAAGTAAAAAAACATTTTTCAGATAGGTATGCACATGATGGCACTATATATAATAAAATCGATTATAAATTGAAAAAAAAAAAAACTATTCGGCCAGGACTTGAACCGGCATCCACAGCTTTCACCGCTGTTGCTCTGCGTGCAGTAGTTAACTTAATTTTATTTCTAGTTTCCCTCTCATTAATAGTTACGAGAAAAAACAAAAACTTTTTATAAATATTAATGAATCGAAATTTAACACTTCTATCTCACGCCATAAATTGATACAAACGAAACGACTCGGTAATCGAGCCGTGACAGTTTGCCGATTCGAGTTGCTCTTGGCGGACGAGAATTGGTACTTAATGGCAATTTTATTAAAATGAACGAAATAGAAGATTTATGTCTTAATAAAGATCCCCGGTTTACATTCGAGCTCGTCGGAATTTTAGTAGTCCACGCATTTTTATATTAACACATCGGGCACAATTCGCGTTACTAAGCGATTTTATTTTAAACAACACTAGAAATATATTCTTAGACATTAAAATGTCTGAGGATATATCTTTTTTTAACCACTATTTACTGGGCTTTATAGTTATGACCTTACTAGTTTATATCGACCCATAAGACTTAAAATTTGCTTTATATATCTTCAGTTTCTTTCTGTAGTTTACTCGAGTACTGCACGATTAAATTAAACACTTTTAACTATTTAAAACACGAAATTTATTACTTAATTTATTTTAACTACGGCCTGGCTTTTCGGATGATTGCAGCAGCAATGGTCACGGGAGGACTGAAGATGGAGAGTGTCTCTTACATTAAAGTTATATATGCTACTCTAGCGCCATCTGTTTTGTCGTAGTTGCTATTTTTATTTGGTACATAGCAGATTTGACGTTTTGACAATTATGTAAAATTCGCTTATATTTTTATTATACGGAATGAGGTTGCATTAAACAAAAAAATAGACGTAGTAAAAACTATAAGTAAGTGATTTATAGTTTAATAAAAACTACCAATTTGGTTTGTTCTAAATAGTTTTGTAGTATTAAGCTTGTTAATAAATTTAAACATGAAATAGTTTTCTATTGTAACTCACGCTGAACCTGGCGTGGGCTTAAGCGTTTATTTATTAGTTCATTAATAATTTTGGTTTGAACCTGGTATAGTTTACCTAAGAATTGAAGCTATTTGACAAAATTTATTGTTTTATCATTAGAAAGAGGGATCCAATAGTTCTTTTAATAGCTAGTTGAATATGTGTTTTAGTCTCCAAGTGTTAATTTCACGTACGTTTTTAAATAAAAAGTTATGTTTTTCTACACACTATTTATCTATACTGACTAATATATTAAGCTGAAGAGTTTGTTTGTTTGAACCCGCTAATATCTGGAACTACTGGTTCGAATTGAAAAAAATATTTTGTGAGATCGTTAGAGCATTTATGGAGGAGTGCTATATGCTATAAAACTTGTGCTGTAACTATTAGGAGCCAAGAAACAACGGGAAATATGGATAAATCCGGGATTTCTTTCAACTTTGTGAGTTTTCAATGCGTTCACTGCGAAAAAAGCTGAAGATACCCAAAAAATATATATGAAAGAATGATTCCTCTTTAAATGATCTAAAAAATGTCTGCGACACTATATATCTACCTTTTAAAAGTAACTTGCAAGAACGACGGGACGCAACACAACAAATTATATTCCCAAAATAATTATTGTACGCGAACGAACCCGCTAACACAGCTAGTTTGTGTATAGTTTTCGAATGTTAGTTCCTCGAGTGTTCCTAAATAGGCTATACTTCTCTGAAGCCCATCTTCTACGAAACCAGAGGTGTATTCTACATTTCACACAACAGGAGTAATATTAAAAAAATACAGTATTAATAACGAAGACAGCTGACTCCGTCATCTGGGCGAGGATATGAGGCGTTAACGATTCTGATCTCGAAATTACACGCCATTAATTGAAACGTCAGTTTGCGAAGGACGAAAAAAGCTTCCATACTAATTTAGATATCAGAGGACCGACAAATTGTTAGCCATTCGTACAGCGTTCGGGGAATTAAGACATCGCTGTCTGTCGGCTTTGTTCCGAGATTATTTTTAGTTGCCGACGTTTCAATCGA